TGGTAGAATGCTGTGGCATCACAGCTCACAGCAACCTCAAGCTCTGGGGCTTAGCAGATTCTCTTGCCTTAGCCTCCCAAATAGCTGGGACTACAGGCTCCCCAAACATAAACTTTTAAGTAAAGATTCTAATTTGTGACATTTCTAAACCCTATCATTGAGCCGTTATTTAGCATGAATATTGAGTTGCTTTCAAAATTCTGAATAGCAATATTAAGAGAGAAATTTTTAAAAATGCAGTAGATATTTTACTAAAAGTGTAAAATATGTGCTTTTTCAGGCGTTATTAGATTGAACGAATTTGAGTTTTAAATGGAAAAGTCCTTGAATTTATATATTTTGGGGAGATGTTTTCTCTCTTCACAAGGCATAGTGAAGTGGAGCAGCCCAGTTTTGACAAAACAATCATTGGCTAATGTGAGCCTTTATAGCATCTTAAAAATACCAATGTTTTAGTATCTCTTTCTTCAGAATGTCAAATTATAAGGCTTAACACAGATCTTTGGTTTGTTTTGCTTTCCTCCTTGTTACATTTTGCTATATATTATTTGTACGATGACATCATTAAAAAAGAACTTCAGTACAATACTTAGGGTAATCTGGAGATTATTTTACCATAACTATTACAATAAGTCATTTTGTGTGTGTGTTGATTTCCCTTGTTTGTTATTCAGAAGAACATACTTTGAAATCTGAAATCATTTGGGATATAATTAGCTACTCTATTTACATGAATTTCGTGTACTCTTTCTAAGACAAAATTTGTTTGTTGTAGAAATTTCTGTAAGGCAGGATAAACTAAACATCACTACATCCAAGTAAACCCTGGTCTTTCCTGTCCATTACAAATGTATATTTCTTCTTGCTGGAGTCCCTCAGTTTCCTCTGAGGAACAACAGCACACTCTTTCACAGCCAGTACGTGGGTTATGGACAGGGAGACCAAAGCAGTACATATCCTCTGTCGCAGTGATAATTGGTGGTCGAACATGTTAAAAACAGCTTGCTAAAGAGAGCCGTATCCAAGGCATTTATGAAATTATTTGGAAAGAGAAGTATTTTCTTCTGTCAGTGCAAGCAGACACTCTTGGTGGTGACAATCTGAAGAGGGCTTGTTTCAAAATAAAATTGCTTCAGAGCAAAGTAGGAGTAAAAGGTGAGGAGGGTAATGAAAGTCCTCTCATGTCATCCTTTATCTGCTTCTATCCATGGTCAAGGTTAGAGTGCACCTATTCAGTTAGGTAACCATCATAGTCATGTAAAGCAATCAATTTCTTTGGGGTTTAGGCCATTCAATTAAGCTTTTTAAATTTAGAGTCAAATGAATCACATTATATGAGCCATGGTGAGTTTTACATTTTTAATGGTAAAAGAGAACTTTTAGAAAACTTTAATAAATTTTAAGAAAAACTCATTTTTAACTATATTGTTTTTTAAACTATATTGTAATTACATGGGAAAATCAATATAATATACTTTTTCCCCTTTGTCTATAAGAGTCTATTAAAATGATAGAATAAATTTGGGGCATTAGGTATATATATTCATAGCTTCTTCCTTCTTTGAAAGTATCTGAGATGAATTTTCTTATAACACCACAAAAGAGATTAGTTGGGAAAACATTGAAATATCAATATTTATTAACCATTAACCCTTAAATCAACTAGTTTTAGGTAAATATCACAAGTTAATCATTGACAATTAAAATGCATTTTTCAAAATATATATAAAATCATGACACCAGCAATACTCATAGGATATTCAAGTTTTTCTGAACCTTTTGGTGTTTTTCTAGTTTTATATTTTGCTTGAAATGGAAATTTTTAGTTTCCCACATATCAAATCTGAATGAACCCTCATTACAATTAAAGTTCTGTGATTGGCAATGGCATTAAATATGTTCATTAGATGTGAAAAGATAAATATAAATATAAAATGTTCTATTTATCAAATTAAATGGAATGAAAAGAAAAATTTTAAAAGAATAACCCATTCTTGAGATATAAGTTGCTTTGGAATTAAATATTTTGGTCAAAATTTTACTAGACAGCTAGTGATTAGGCAAGCTGGATTAAAAGATAAAAGGTGAGAACTGAAGAATATAAACTTCTGAAAAGTATTGGAATATTTATTGTGAAAATGTAATGAATCCTTTGTACTTTCTGAATCTGGTTTATACTTCATAACTTGGCAGGCAGAGCCTTCTAAAAACTATTTTTATTTTCTTTCTATTTTCTTTGCCCAAGATCCACTTACTTACTCAATGTGCTAACTTTGAAATAATTCCCAAACTTTTCACAAAACATATCTCAAATATGTATTTTCCTGTAAAGCATTAGATAAATACCACCAGATTTCATTTCTGCCATCTTAGCCTAGACCACTAATTTTATAATTATGTTGCAGTTATCAATACACTGACTTTTCTTACCTTTAATATATTTACACAGAATACATGTATATAATATCCATTATTAAGCCTCCATCACTTAGCACAGTATCTACGGTGCGACACAGGGCACAAATAGGGTGACCAACAGTCCAGGTTTGTCTGGGCCTGCTTTAACGTTAACAGAGAAGGTGTAAAATCCTGGTAAACTTATCAGTCCATGCAAACTGAGGCCAATGGTCAGCTTACATATAGGTTTAGTCTAGCTACTTTTCAATGCAAACAATTTTTAGAGTTAAATTTATTGTAATTATACCCCACGCCTGTTTACAATGGAAGCCCTTAATCAAATATGTTATAATACTTCAGCAGTGTTTTAAGTTATAAAAAATATTACCTTCAAGAATTTGTGGCTTCCATTCTAAAACTATACGTAAATTATAATAAGTGTTTAATAAGGTTACACTAAATTTTTTTGAAGTGACTAGATTGAGCTTCCAATATTAAACAAAATCTGACACTCTCCAAAGTTACTAAATAATGTTTTCTCACCTCCCAAACACAAAATCCACCATCATCAGAAAATGCCTCTTGGTGTCTTTTGGATTTTCCATTTTCACACTAGCAAAAATAACATATTAACCTCAAGGAAATAGTTACTTCAGAGAACATCAGATATAGGCTTCAATTTATATTGTCTTCCCTATTGCAATGTGCATCTAGTTAAAACTTTGCATATAAGGTTTACAACTATTTCCATGGTTATCAGGGCTGTGGCTGACTTCATGGGCAACCTGGGGGTGCTAAGCTGGGAGGGTGGAGGCTGAGAGCTACCTTCCTGATACAGTAACTGATGGAGCAGGGGGATGTCAACAAGAAAAATCTTGGTTTGACCCTACATTTAGAAATATACTCCAGATAAAACACAGAACTGTAACAAACATTTCTCTTTCCTTTACACCATCGGCAGAATATATTTCTCTGTGGGTTGATGTTCAGCTTTGTAAAGTGATGTGATTAGACCACTCTAATATAACCAGCTGCATTTTGAGCAGGAGTCTTTTGAAGGGGTATGCCTGGTTTTGTTTGCTCTTCCAACTCTGATGATCTGCCAGGAGAATACTATGCCCTGGTAATTGTTTCCTTTTGCGCCCAGGTACAAAATAGAACAGATATTTTCTGCACTTTTGAGGAAAACAAAGCCAGCAGCAACCCGGCTCACACTCATCTAACTGATAAATCTGCTGACATCACCCACATTGAAGAATCCTCACTGGGATAAATGTTTGCTGTGTAAGCCACTGAAATAGAGGGTGACTTTTCAAAAACATTATTACAAAAACAACTTCCTTATATAGATAATGGTACCTAGAACCCAAACCACAGTATGTTTATGTTGCATTGTCTTTGGAGGGACAGCAGGTGAATAGGAAACTCTCACAGGAAAGATGGTGACTTCTGTTATTCCTACAAAGCAGAGCAGGTATCTGATGGATTTCTAAATTTGGGCAAGGTGATTCTCAGGAAAATATTGACAATATTACATAGTTATTCTTAACTGTGAGACTAAGATATTAAAGTACAGCAAGCAATATATGTGCTCAGAAAAGAATTTGCTTACATACAAGTAGAACTGCAGAAAAGTAGAAAGCCCACAAATACTGAAAGTTGGAAAAATTTTTCCCCCACTAAACCAATGGTATACTGCTGATTTCCCCCACTAAACCAATGGTTATACAAATTTTGAAAGTTGGAAAGTTGGAAAAATTTTTTCCCCACTAAACCAATCATATACTGGAAAGTTGGAAAATTTTTCCCCCTACTAAACCAATGGTATACTGCTGTTGCACCCTCCTAGGGCAAGGAGATGAAATTGGGGGGTTGTCAGTAACATTTAACCATTATTCACAATTTAAGACTCCTGTAAATATAAGGAACTGTTTACTATATCCTAAAAAGCTGATAACCTAAAAGTACCCATATGCCTGTATCCATCAGGGTTCTCCAAAGAAGCAAAGCAAATAGAAAATATGAATATAGATAAGATATATACATATACACATATATATAGCACTATAGATAGGTAGTAAAGAGAGAAAGATAATTGATAGATGATATACTGATAGATACAAAAGAAATTTATTTTAAGGAATGGGCAGGTGAAGATTGTGGCACGTCTGACTTGCTAACTGAAGGAAGCTCAGCAAATTGGAAAGGCAGAGAAGAGAAGATGTTGTAATCTTGCATCTGAAATTTATCCAAGGATGGCAAGTTGAAAACTGAGGCAAGATTTCTCTTGTACAGAATTTCTTCCCCAGAAAACCTATTCATATTCTCAAGGCCTCCCACTGATTGGATAAGGCCTACAAATATTGCAAGTGGTAATTTCTTCTAGGTCAAGGCAAAAATGATTGTCAATGCTGATCACATTTAATCACCTTCATGGTAATATGTAGATTAGTACTGACCAGATGATTAGACCAATCACCAGAGCCTAGCTAAGTTAACAAAATAATAATAACCACAAAGTACTCATAGTTAAGTAAAAAGCAACAAATCTTCCAAAAGATTGTGGCTAGGACTTCCAGCAGATAGCGTTGAGTGACATGAAAATTGTTTTAAGCTTCAAAAGCAATTCTAGCAGAGCGGCCGGGTCAGACTGCAGAGCCGTTCCTTGTTGCCTTCCTTCTGAGAACAGCCCTGTGATCAGGGTGCCCTGAACTTGGCAGAGCCATTCATTGCTGTAGGGAGATTCTGTTTGACTTGCTTGGTGTGTGCTGACCTGATGGCCAGGTTTTGTTCCAGCGTGTCTTTGTTCACTATGGTGAAGTGACCAAAGATCGTGTCAAGATGAAAGGCTGCGTGGTGGGGACCAAGAAGAGCGGCTCTCCCTCCACAAGTGCTTCTTGGTACAGATGGAACTGCGAGCTCTGGAGAAAATTGACCTTAAGTTCATGGACACTCCCTCCAAGTTTGGCTGTGACCGCTTCCATTCTACGGACGGAGGAGAAGAAAGTGTTGATGGGACCACTTAAGAAAGACCGAATTGCTAAGGAAGAAGGACCATAATGTCAGGAGCAGATTGAACAGCTGGTGGGATCTCAATAAAAGTTGTTTTCCAGTGGGAAAAAAGACCCAAAACAAACAAACACAAAAAACAATTCTACCCAGAAATTGAATAAAGGAGAATGACAGTGATAATATCAATATTTACATAAATAAATTATTTGATAAAATGTGTTTACTGTGGTTGAGTCAGATGATTTTAGTTTCCTAATATGTTCCTTTCTGGACTCTCATCACCTTTTGGTATCACAAAGTAGGCCAAAGGTATTTTCACACCTCTCATTTTCTAGAAGAATCA